ATGAGGCGTTGTTCGCAGTACATGCGCAAGCCAAACGCCTAGTCAAGCGATGGGTTGCATGCGGCACAACATTGAAAAACTACCCGCCACTTGAGTGTGATGACGACGCGCATCACCGGGTGGTCGAGGAGCTTCTTCTTGCGGGTCTTGATGTCGTTCATCTCAAACTTGCCGAGTACAACGTCCGTTGCCTGGTTCACTTCGGCGCCGTTCGGTTGCGTCTTGGGCGGGTCGTACCGGTCAGCGTGGAGAAGGAGGTAGAGCGGCGTTTTGCGTAGAGACTCCTTGCGTTCGCTAAAGCCCTTTTCACCTTCTTGCTCGTACATGTACAGGTAGATGTCTTCGACCTACGTCATAGCATGCATGACGCCTTCTCGTCCCAGCAGAGGGCAAGGCACCTTTTGCACACGCTCCGCGCGCGTACCCTTCGTCAAGCACTCGTCGAACTGCTTGCCCACTGTCTTGAGACTTTTGACGCGGTTGTCGTATACTTCCTTTGGCGTATCGTCCAACTTGCGCGTTGGCTCGAGCGCGTGTGCCAGCACCGCGAGGGAGTGACCGTCGTGAACGCTTGGTGCATCGGAGGTCCCAGTGTCCACATTGTTGGTTGCTTCAACCATCGTGTGGCGTGCGGATCTCGATGGCTGGTGGCGGTGGTACGGAAGGCCGTCGTCCATGGTGCGGTCGTTGAGCCAAAAGAATTGTGAGCGACGACCTGCAAGCCAACACGTCGCCGTCCAGTTTCCACGGCACGAGGCGCGATCAGTTTAACAAATGGAACATCGTAATCGGGATCGTGTCGCCAGCTCCTTGAATCGATGGAGCCTTGCAGCACTCTGGAGTGTTTAGGTTTGTAATCGGTCAAGTACAATTTCTAGGTCCCACCATCAAAGATCGCACCGTGGCGCTCGGACGTTGATGAACCTCGAGGAGCGAGGTCCTTACGCAACCAGTACGTCGACACATTGCCACTTTAAAAAAATCTGTCGTGTTCCGCCGCATCTTCCTTGCCGCGTGGCTCGCTCGCAAGCCGCATCGCCATGCACTGTCTCTGGTCCACAGGTCTCCCTGATCCAGATATCATGTGCGTGCTGAACGCTAATCATTTCCAGCCTCTCGTTGCGTCAAGAGCAATCGCCATGTGGCCTGCACTCGATTGTAGCACTCCAACTATGACGTCGCCTGAAGCAGCTGTTCCTGAATTTCGCGCCAACCTCGCCGATCCTATTGTTCCGTGCAGAATTAAGGTTTTCCCTTCCGACGAGTTTTATTAGTCGACGACATGGGTTTAGTAGTTGTGGTAGATATGTCATGTCACTCGCACCAAAGAGATGTACGCGCATTGGTGCATGCACCACACATGCGACCCGCTGCCAGTGGTACAGTGCAGCGACCCCGCACTGATCCTTGAAAAGGCTTTTGTGTTGCACAGGATTGTGGTCATCGATTTAACGACTTCAAGTCCGTGTTCAGTGCGCGTTCTTGTGCCAATCGACAATAGAACGTTGATCATAGTAATACGCAGAAAGGCTACTCGAGGGTCGATCATTTTATGGACGATTTGTATGGACCGTGGGCTACTGCACAACATCGTTGACAGCATTTGCGTCCGAACGCAGTTGGCACAGTGCGCGACCCGTGAAATGCACCCGATCGGCAGACGCACCGCCTGGTGTTGCTACAGTACTTTATAGCGCGTAAGCTCAGCGTGTGAAAGGTCGGTCGCTGCGGGCTGTATACGCTCGCTGTGTAGGTGACATGAAGAAAGCTCAGGGCACGGTTTCGTAGCCTTGGAACAAGCGGGTCTTGTCCTTATTCTTGGGAATAATCGCAAGGAGCTCGAGCGTTGCGTTGGTCGCATTGTTAGCGCTGTCCAGAAACTTTGGGTCGGGCTCGAACGGCTTGAGATTCCCACCTTGGCTCTTGAAGAGGAGGTTAGGCGCACTCGTGTACGCGCACTAGATCGGAAAGTAGAAGGCCAAGTAGCGGAAGACGTCGGTAAGCATGCGGCGCATCATCGGGAGGAGGTACCCGACGGCGGGGATGACCTCAAGGTACGAGACGCTCATGACCCAGACCAAAAAAAGCGCGGGAATGCCAGCGTAGACGCGCATGGTGGCCGAGAAGGCTGCCGTAAACTCGCAGACGACGTAGATGAGGATAAGGAAGAAAGTGGGGAGCTGGATGCGGTTCCAGTACGACTCGAGGTACGGCGATGGCTTGCCGCCCTTGAGCAACCCGAATGTCGACGTGAGCATGTATGTACCCCAGAGCACGGAGACTGCGACGGACGATGCCGCGACGTTCGTTAGCACGCGTGGCGAAACGTGAGTGGCTTCATTCAGCGTAGTACGGCTGCAAAGATGTGCTTTGACGTATTCTAACGGTGGTCGTCAAAGGCTGCGGAAGACGAAGGACCCTAGTCCACGCCAGCCATCGATGCTCGACCCACGTGGCACACGTTCTAACCGACACACTTGCTCATCATCTTTGCGCGGTCGACCTGTGTGAGTCCATCGAGGCACGGGTTGATAAACTGTTGGTTGATGCTTGATCGACGCTAGAAAGATATATGGCTCACAATCGTGCTGTCACATTTCGGAAATCTTCAAAGGACGGATCAAATATGCCGTTTTCGTTTCCTAAACTCCTAGCACACGCTCGTCATGGAACACTATTCGTAATGAAGTTGCGAGGGTCCGTGGACTCCCATGGTGGACTCCTGTACCCTTACACTGCGTCCAACGCAAGAGCCTCTTTGGTATGGTGTCGAGAAGGATCCTGGTACGTTGCTGGGAGTACTACAGGCAAGGGCAGATCGCAAGTCGATCGCAAAGAACATACGTGGCGTGCGTCTACAGCTCCAACTCAGTCGCAGCCATCGATGGACAGAGAGAGCGCGAGCACGAGGCGTTGGCGCGAGCGTGTTCGGCACGTTGAAGCGCCGGCATCGATGGTGCGTTAGAGTCCATTTGGAGGAGCAACGATTGTATG